CACACACACACACACACACACACACAGCCATTAGCCAATCTTAGTTTTGTCTGTTTGTTCGTTCGTTTGTTTTTTTGTTTGTATGTTTTTGAGATCAGGTCTCTCTACATAGCCCTGGAGGTCCTAGACCTCACTGTGTAGACCACTTTCCGCCCTTCAGCTCTCAGAGATCTGCCTGTTTCTGCCAGGATTAAAGGTTTGCACCACCATGTTTGGCCTTGCAGATTCCTGTTTTATTTTATTTTATTATTTTTTTAATGTGGATGTTGGGGTTTCAACTAAGCCATCCCCTCAGCTCCTGTGGTTTGATCTCAGTTTTAATGCTCTGAGATTAATCACGAAAGTTGGATTGCTGGATGAGATGATTGCTATTCCTGAATGACTCTTTAAAATGTTTGGCTGCAGAGAAGTAAATTATGTAAAGCATGTCATATCTAGAAGATGGATGATTAAGAGAGGGAGGGACATGTTTGAAGAAGTCCTGAGCATGTTTTAATGTGCAAGAGAAGTTTCTGGTTGAGTATTCCAGATGGAAGAAAAGAATATGTAATGACACATAGTCCTAAGAGGATGAGCCAAGGCACAGGAAGAAGCACAAGTGGAGAAGAAGCTTTGTGTTTCTATTGTGGTGAGTCTCTAGCTTGCCTAGCTCCTCCAGGAACAGAGTGTTATGGCACATGCTGAGAAGCCCAGCACTTGGGAGGCTGACCCAAGAAAACTGCAAATCTGGCACCAACCTGAACTTTACACTGAAACCCTGTCTCAAAAGAAAAAACAAATTCCTGGGAAGTAGAGAAAGGAGAATCAGAAGTGCAAGGTCATCTATGGATACACTGTGTGAGGCAAGTCAGAGCTATGTGGGGACTTAATCTCAAAAATAAAACAACAGCAAACAAATGGCTTTTTTTCAGGCCTGGCATGATAGCGCACATCTTTATTCCCAGCACTCAGGAGGAGTAGACGGGCAGATAGATACATGTGAGTTCAAGGCCAGATTGATCTACATAGTTTCATGAGGGATCCACCAGAGAAGGCCACTGGGACACTGATTCAATCCAACAGAAAGTTTTTATTAGCTGGCTGGCCACTACCCTGGGTATTTGAAACCCAAGTGCTTTCCTGAGCCTTTCTCAGGGTGAGCTTTTAAGCACAAAAAAACACATTCTGGGTTGACATACCTCAGTTAGCAAGGGCAGTCAGTCTTAGAATTGGAACTACAGAAGCTAAAAAGCAAGGTTAGTACATTTAGGGACTTCCCCAGAACTCTGCAGTTTGATGGATTATGTCTTTGCTCCCATTTTAGCAGATGTTAAGGTCTACATGCTGGCCTCTTAGGTCAGAATGGTGCAGTGTCTCTACATGGTGTTAGATTTGCTAACGTTTGGAAACCTGTCACAACACCAAGTTTAGGACTAGCCAGGGCTACAGAGTGATACCCTATTAAAATAAATCTCCACCCCTGGAGGGGTGCTGAAATACAAAATGCTTCCCCTGGTTTTGGAGAGGTGGCTCAGAGGTTAATAACCTTTGCTGCTCTTGTAGAAGACCCAAGTTTGATTCCAAGCAGCCACATAGAGGCTCACAACTGTCAGTAACTCCAGTTCAGAGGGGATCCAATGCCCTCTTCTGGCCTTTTTTTTTTTTTTTTTTTTTTTTTTTTTTTTTTTTTTTTTTGGTTTTTCGAGACAGGGTTTCTCTGTGCAGCTTTGCGCCTTTCCTGGGACTCACTTGGTAGCCCAGGCTGGCCTCGAACTCACAGAGATCCGCCTGGCTCTGCCTCCCGAGTGCTGGGATTAAAGGCGTGCGCCACCACCGCCCGGCCTTTTTACAGGCAAACCACAAACATAAACAACATAAAATAATAAATCTTTAAAAATTGTTGCCAGGCGGTGGTGGCACACGCCTTTAATCCCAGCACTCGGGAGGCAGAGCCAGGCGGATCTCTGTGAGTTCGAGGTCAGCCTGGGCTACAGAGTGAGTTCCAGGACAGACTCCAAAGCTACACAGAGAATCCCTGTCTCGAAAAACAAAAAAAAAAAAAAAAAAAATTGTTACCTTTTTCCTCACCCTAACCCCAGGTTTGTGATTCTTTGGGTCTGGAGATGCACAGATAGAGGGTTTGTGCTGTTGTGGAGCATTAATTATGGTGTGAGAACTACTATGTACTATTTACCATACTAGGAGGAAAAGAAATAGGGTGGACACACAGTTGTATACATACCCATGTTTGTAGTCAGAAGCTAAAGAAGTTCCATATGCCAGGCTATGGTAGCACCTACCTTTAATCTCAGCACTTAGAAGGTAGAAGCAGGCAGATCCCTGTGAGTTCAAGGCTAGAGATTTGCCTGCCTCTGCCTCCGGAGTGCTGGGATTAAAGGCGTGCGCCACCACCGCCCAGCTCAGCAATAATAATAATGTTTTGTGAGTCCTTGGACAACCCCGACCAACTCAAATGAGAGCTCCAGGAGTTTGTCAGGCCAGATGAGAAAATTTCATTTGTATTCATACACCATTTTATTCGTGTTATAGGTATTTTCGGTAAATACTTAATACTATGATTCCTTATGACCTTTTCAGACATCCTTACTGTTCTTTCACCCTCCTCCTTCCTTCTTCCAAGATTATTTCCCCCTCCCTAATTAGAGTACCTTTCTCCCCATTTCTACTATCATATCACTTGTACCCTGCTATTCCCTTCTCTACTCTCACCCTCCCTGCTCTGTGGTGATATTTTGAACAAATAAAATTTGCCTGAAGATCAGAGGGCAGAGCTAGCCACTAGATAGACATAGAGGTCAGGCAGTGGTGGCACACACCTTTAATCCTAGCACTCGGGAGGCAGAGATCCGTCTGGATTTCTGTGAGTTCAAAGCCACACTGGGCTACATGAGATTAATCCAGTCTAAAAGAGAAACGGAGCCAGGCAGTGGTGGCATACACATTTAATTCCAGCACTTGGGATCACACACCTCTAATCCAGCACTAAGAAAGGTGGAAACAGGAAATGATATGGCTGGGGGAAAAAAGGAATATAAGGCGGGAGGAGACAGGAACTCAGCCCTTCAGGCTGAGGAGTTGGTGAGGTAAGAGGTGGTGGCTTTGGTTTGTTATGCTTCTCTGATCTTTCACCCTGATATGGCTCTGGGTTTTGTTAAGACCATTTAGGATTCATGCAACACTGCTCTTCCAAAATCATACCATTTTTACTTTCTTGATTTCTGCAGTTAATCCAGATTATGTACTCACATCTGAAGATTTGGAGTTAGGAACCTCAGATGAGAGAGAACATGAGACATTTGTCTTACCAGGTTCCCTCCCTCTGATCTTTCCTAGTTTCAATCCTAGAGAAGGAAGTCAGGACAATAGGATTACAAACATGGTGTGCTTTGTAATATAGATATTGCTGGAATGACTGACAGATGCCCTTCATATAAAAATGTAAATTCCTCAAGACAGCTTCAATTCACTCACCTCACAATTATTCCTATTTAATAACAACTCTTAGCCAGGCGGTGGTGGCACACGCCTTTAATCCCAGCACTTGGGAGGCAGAGGCATGTGGATCTCTGAGATTGAGGCCAGCCTGGTCTACAGAGCCGGGACAGTCAGGGCTATAGAGAGAAACACTGTGTGTGGTGGGGGGAGAATTCCCCTGCCTCAAAAGGGTTTAAAAATGTAATTTTCCCTCCACAGAGCAGATAAAAATTTAGAATCAGAACCTGGTATGGTAGCTTATGCCTGTAATCCCATTACTTGAGAATTTGAGGCAGGAGGACTGCTGTGAGTTCCAAGACCAGCCTCAAAACACGAAACAAAGTATGAATGCTCACTTGAACTTCAAACATAACTGGTAGCATTTTTTTCCTGGTTTTGTTTTGCCTTTTCTTTTTGAGACAGCATCTAACAAATCCAAGCTGTTCTGGAACTCACAGCTTCATAGCTGCCCTACTTCAGCGTCCCAAGTCCTGAGATTAAAGGCATGGGCCAGCACCCTAACTATCATCGTGTATTTTTATTTGGCAGTCTTAACTCTGCCCTAGCCTAGTCCCACTTGTTCATGGTTGTTATAGGAAACTAATAGGTAGTCAGTAATTATTCTGTATGGATGGTTTTTCTGTGCCATTCAATTTGTTTTCACCTAACAATTACTTGCCAGATTCTTCCCATTTATTAGTTATTGTTCAAGAAAATTTAGGGACTTATAGGTAGCAACTAAACTTGTTTGCTATTTCTACAACATTGGCACTGTACTTCTACCATTTTCACATTGCTTTTGGAATTAAGATTTTATGCAAAAGTAAAACTTTTGCACCGTGCTTGGCCTACTAGGCCGCTCAGTAAGTTTACTTTTGTATTCAATAAATCAGGGTGCCGTTTTAGCACAAAGCTAAAAGGCGCCTTGGAGGAGAATGGGTGGGGGTAGGGCAAACAGTAAAAATTGTACACCGGCAAGAACTTTAAGAGACACGAAGAGGCGGAGCAAATAGTAAATGACATAGGAGACGGCCAATGAAGAGTCTGGGAACCACTGCCCTCCCTCCCTTCGTGCTTCAAATTCTAAGCTTAATTTCCATCCGGGTTCTTCAGCCTCGTTCCCGGGTAGTATAAAGATTGCTGTCTCCTTTGTTCGCCCTCGTTGCGCAGTATTCCTAGCGTCATTTCGTTCCGTTTCAAGAATCGGCAGCTGTCACTGAAGCGGCGAAGGTCCTGTCAACGAGCTCACCGGAGCTTGAGACCGTCGCAGTCCCCTCGGGTAGGAGCCTCCTTTCCTTGACCTGTTTTCCGTACAGTCTTGTCATGTTAGGGCTGGAGATCATTTGTTTCCCTGGAGAGGTGGTGGCGGGCGCCATTTTAAGACGCCCAAAGGTGTCAACCTATTTAAAGCAGAAGCGGTGGAAGCAGCACACTAGGGGGTCCATTATCTTGCGTGCGTCTCCGGGAGGTTTGGCTGTCGCCTGAGGGCGGAGGGCGCAGCGCACAGCTTTGTAGGTGGGGCGGGAGGGACGCAGAGCTACCACAGGACTAGCACCAGGACAGCGCCGATGCTCATGATGGGCTGGTTGACTTCTCTGCGGCTTCCTCTGGTCGTTGGCGGTAAAGAGGGGAAGCCTTTGGAGTTTTCGCTGCCAGTGTCAATGCAAAAGTTAGTTAGCCCAGCGGTTGTTGGTGGTTCTGGGTTGGATCCAAGTGTCGCCATTTTGTCTTTAACACGCGGTTTTTAATGAGTCTTAATTAGGTGCCGGCACAGGGAAGGAGTGTGAACAGTGTGTGATTCTGAGTTCCGCTATTTTCTGACTTTGGCACTTTTTATCTTTTCAACCAGATAACAATCTTTTGTTGGGTTAGATGCGGCAACTTTGTTCTAACTTAGAGATTTGTGCCTAAACTTACTAGGAAATCTAAACCAGAAAAGGGCTTGGTCTTTACTTGGTGCATCTGGCTGATGACCTTGAGTGAATAGGAAGTCTTTTATAGCCTTCGCTGCGGGGGAGCGAGAAGGGGGATAGTAACGGAATGTTTAAAAGATAACAGGTCAATACAATAGCCGGGTGTGGTGGCCCAGTCTGTTAACTCCTGCACTCTTAAGGCTGCAACCTTGTATAAAAAAAGTAAAATACATTTCAAAGTGGTCAATATTGTAGCCGAGGGTGGTGGCCCAGTTTGTGAATTCCTGCACTCTTAAGGCTGCATGCAACCTTGTATAAAAAAAAGTAAAATACATTTGAAAGTGGTCAATATAGTAGCCAGGTGTGGTGGCCCAGTTTGTTAGTTTCTGCACTCTTAAGGCTGCAACTTTGTATCAAAAAAGTAAAATACATTTAAAAGTAAAAGTTGCCTTTTCAAATGTTGAATAGCTGTTCTTGGACTAAAAGCAGCCAGGGCAGAGGTTTGCTAAATTAGGCAGACCCTATTAACCCGGTTAATGAAAATTGCACTGCACTGTTAACCAAAAGTATTTCAGTTGGTTTTCTGCTGTTCTTGAGGGTTATCAGAGTCTTTAGTTACTAAAGAATAAAGATTTTATAAAACAGGAGCCACAGTTAAGCTGTTCAGTAAACTTAGGGAACTTCCTCCAGAGAGATAATATTATTTTTCAGCAGACTCCCATCGGTTGGAAGAAAAAATGGTTGAAGCAGATCGCCCAGGAAAGCTCTTTATTGGTGGGCTCAATACAGAGACAAATGAGAAAGCCCTTGAAGCAGTATTTGGCAAATATGGACGAATAGTAGAAGGTGAGTTATCTAAAATTATATGCTGTGTTACTGTAATGAAAAGACAAGCTGTGATGAATTTGAATCCACTGATCATCTGACATGATAACGTATTTTGTCCTCTAAGAAGTTCTGAGCTTGCTTTCTGTAAATGTGCTTGGGTTATTTTTGTTTGAACGAAGGTAACCGCCCCCCTCCCAAACTGTTTTAGTGCTTTTGATGAAAGACCGAGAAACCAACAAGTCCAGAGGATTTGCTTTTGTCACTTTCGAAAGCCCAGCAGATGCAAAGGATGCTGCCAGAGATATGAATGGAAAGGTATGATTTTCTGCTTAATATAAAGGGGTTTTCTGGTGACAAAAATAACTAAAGTGTAATCCAAGTCTGGGTCCAGAGCAGCTCTGGAATTTTTATTTTGTGTATGTATATCCAGAGACTTTTGATCATAGTCATTGGTAGTACTATCCTGAATTTTATTTTATTTTTTTTTAATTTTATTTAGTAAGAAGGGGGTCTCCATGTGGTCTTGACTATAGATCAGGCTGACAAACTCAGAGATAGATCCTCCTGCTTATGCCCCCAGAGTGCTATAATAAAAGACCACACCAAGTCTCTATTCTGAATTTTATAGTGATTCCACAACCAAATTTTGTAGCTAATGTTAAAAGTTATATGCCTATCAAAGGTTTCTATGTTTCTTTTCAGTCTTGATAAAATTTATTTTTTTAAAAGTCCTTAGATGGAAAAGCCATCAAGGTGGAGCAAGCCACCAAACCATCATTTGAAACTAGTAGACGTGGACTGCCTCCACCTCCAAGAAGCAGAGGTCCTCCCAGAGGTCTTCGAGGAGGAAGAGGAGGAAGTGGAGGAACTAGAGGACCACCCTCACGTGGAGGACACATGGGTAATTTGATTGGAACTCAGGCTTGGTGTTTAAGTTAAAAGCTTCAGACCCACACCAGTATATGCATTCTTTTTGAAAGGTTAAATCAGTGGTTCTCAACCTTCCTAATACTGCAACCCTTTAATACAGTTCCTCATGTTGTGGTGACCTCCAACCATAAAATTATTTTCATTGCTACTTTATAACTATAATTTTGCTACTGTTATGGATTGTAATGTAAATCTCTGATATACAGAATATCTGATATGCGACCCCCATGAAAGGGTTGTTCCACCCCTGGGATCACAACCCACAAGTTGAGAACTGCTGCCTTTGACATGGAGACAACTCACCCCGTTAATGTAGTGTTCACGACTTGAGAAGAAAATATGGGAGGCCTAAATTAAATTACAGTGTTAAAACTATGGGCCAAATGACTCAGGACTAGGACTATTGTTTTCCCAGTCTATAAGACTTGTAGATTTCTGAAACAAGGTCTGTGTTGTTAATTCGGGCTGGTCCTGAACTCTTGTCATGCTAACTCTTGCTCAATGGAAAACAAACCTAGCCTCCTCAGCTAAGCGGAAAAGATAATGGTCATGACGCACATAATTAATTCTTTGTGTTGTTTTCCTTGAGGCAAATAGTTCTTAGTCTTTTTCTTGAGTGTTATAATGGTTTTTTCTTGATTATTGGGTTGATGTATCTTCTTTTCTAACATAGATGATGGTGGCTATTCCATGAATTTTACCATGAGTTCTTCGAGGGGACCTCTTCCAGTAAAAAGAGGACCACCACCACGAAGTGGGGGTCCTCCTCCTAAAAGATCAGCACCTTCAGGACCAGTTCGTAGCAGCAGTGGAATGGCGGGAAGAGGTAACTGTTGCATGCTTTACAATCTGTGCTGCTACCATAACACTATGTTGAAGCTAGGCATGGTGGTTGGTTCATGTCTAGTCCTAGCACTGAGGAAAATAGGATTGACATGAGTTCAAGACCTACCTAGGGAGACTCTTTGTTTTCTTTTTATTCTTTTTAAATGCTTGGCCAGTGAGATGGCTCAGTGGGTGAAGCATTTGCTTCTCAAGTGCAAGAACTTGAATCCAATCCCCCACTCACAAACAAAAGTGGAAAGAGAACTGAGATTACAGGGTTGTCCTCTGACCTTCATGTGCATCATAGCATGCACACGCCCCCACCATTTTACACACACACACACACACACACACACACACACACACACACACACACACACATACACACACACACGCACACACACACATACACACACACGGTGGTATTATGTTCCCCAAAATATTGTGCACCCTAATAAACTTATCTGGGGTCAGAGAATGGAACAGACACTAGATACAGAGGCTAGAAAATGGTGGCACTCACACCTTTAATCTTAGCCTTCTGGAGGCGTGGATCTCTGAGTTCAAGGCTACACTAGAAATAGCCAAGCGTGGTGACTCTCGCCTTTAATCCCAGAAAGCCAGCCTTTAATCCCAGGGAGTGATGACAGAAAGCAGAAAGGTATATAAGGCGTGAAGTCCAGAAACTAGAAGCTTTAGGCTTGTTAAGCTTTCAGGCTTTGGAGCAGCAGTTCAGTTGAGATCCATTTGGATAAGGACACAGAAGCTTCCAGTCTGAGAAAACAGGATCAGCTGTGGAATTGGCAAGGTGAGGTAGCTGTGGCTTTTTCTGCTTCTCTGATTTTCCAGCATTCACCCCAATAACTGGCCTCAGGTTTGATTTTATTAATAAGACCTGCTAAGATTCACGCTACACACACACACACATTAGTAAGTTCTTTTTAATGCTTATGCTTAAGACTGATTTAGGGATTCCAATTAATCTCATATTTATAATTAATGAGCACTGAAATTATGTGACTAGGAAGCATCCTGTTTTAGCTACATATGATATTTGATTAAATCAGGTTTTTTTTTTTTTTAGCCTTAGTGTAAGTTCACACTTTAGCTTTTCGATGGCTAGATTTTGATGGTTATTTTTCCCCTTAAGCCCCTGTGTCACGTGGAAGAGATAGTTATGGAGGCCCACCACGAAGGGAGCCCCTTCCCTCTCGCAGAGATGTTTATTTGTCCCCGAGAGATGATGGATATTCCACTAAAGACAGGTAACAGAAAAGCGCAGTTTCTTTTATGAATAATTATGTTGAAAGAGAGCACATCAGAAGCGTAAACCAAATTCTTTCCTGTAGCTATTCAAGCAGAGACTACCCAAGTTCTCGAGATACCCGAGATTATGTACCACCGCCAAGAGATTATCCTTACCGTGATTATGGTCATTCCAGTTCACGTGACGACTACCCACCAAGAGGCTATAGGTAAGTGGCTACTTCTGTGGTTTCCTTGTATTTGCTGTAAAACTTCATGCCTCCAGGGCTTAGCAGATGGCTCAGCTGTTCAAAGCACCTCCCAAATAAGTTTGGCAACCCAAGTTCCATCCTTGAAACCCATGTAAAGGTGAAAGGGAGAGAAGAGATTCCACAAAGTTGTCTTTTGACCTCTACAGGATCATGGCATGCCCATGTCTCTTCATCCTCACAAAATTTATTTTACATTGGACAGCTTAAAAAAATGAAGAGATTTGAGCCTTTTATTTTTAAAGGATTTGGGAATTTTTAGAGTATATTACATTTATATTATTAAATAAACACGTAATTTAGGGGAAAATATATATTTTAATTTAAAAATTGCTTTTTATTTAGTGATAGAGATGGATATGGTCGGGATCGTGACTATTCAGATCATCCAAGTGGAGGTTCCTACAGAGATTCATATGAGAGTTATGGTAAGATACCGGTTAAGGATCTTAAATATCACCAGCTTGAGGTTTTAGGTTCATGAGCTGGATTAATAGGCTGCGTGGTGCTTGCTTTTCAAGGGACCTTTGCTTGCTTTCAAGGGGTAACTTTATCAGCTGGGCTTTTCCTAGTTTTGTGAAGGGCTTTTTGGTTCTTTCCTTGTTTCGTTTTTTGTGTCTTTTCTTTTGAGGCTGTTCGCTTGCTTTGGAGGGGATTTTGCTTGCTTAAATTGGCAGCCTTATGTGTTTTCCCCCAACAGTGAAAATACAATTTAAAAATTTTATTAACAAGATCAAATATTTACCATTGCAATATGAAGGAAACTCAACAGTTCAAAATTGCAACTTATCACTGGAAAGTGGCTGAGTGTCTACTATAAAATAACAAGCTGTCTGGAATGTCCTCTTGAAATACAACGTCTTCAGTCTTTTCAAACAAACATTAAAATCAATCCATTTCCGTATTTCAGCAGATGAGCAATTCCCTTTTGTGGCCAGCAATGGTAGAGTTTAAAACTTCCCAGTTGAGAAAGTAAACTTATAATACAAGAATTCTGTAAATTCAGATTTAACTGTTGTATATATACAATTTATAGTGTTGCCATATTACCTGACCATTGACCCTGCAGGTAACTCACGTAGTGCTCCACCTACACGAGGGCCCCCGCCATCTTATGGTGGAAGCAGTCGCTATGATGATTACAGCAGCTCACGTGACGGATATGGTGGAAGTCGAGACAGTTACTCAAGCAGCCGAAGTGATCTCTACTCAAGTGGTCGTGATCGCGTTGGCAGACAAGAACGAGGGCTTCCCCCTTCTATGGAAAGGGGGTACCCTCCTCCACGTGATTCCTACAGCAGTTCAAGCCGCGGAGCACCAAGAGGTGGTGGCCGTGGAGGAAGCCGATCTGATAGAGGGGGAGGCAGAAGCAGATACTAGAAACAAACAAAACTTTTGGACCAAAAAAAATCCCCATTCAAAGAAACAAACAAAAATGGAAACTTTCTGTCATAAACTTCCCAAGGACTACTAAAAGGAAAAATTGTGTTACCTTTTTAAAATTTCCTGTTCCCCTTAATAATTTTTATGTTCTTGTGAGGGAAAAAGTAAGACGTGTTTAATTTTATTTGATATTATGAGTTGCTTTCAACAAGCAAATGTTAAATGTGTAAGCCTTGACTTGTACTAGTGTTGTAATTTTCCAAGTAAAAATGTCCCTGAAGGCCACTTCCTGATTTTTCCCAGTTAATGAGGAAAGCAATCCTAAGATCTTCCACAAACATTAAGCCATCTATATGTCCTGTGGTCTCCACTGAGCGATGAATCGCCCTGCCTGTGCTATTAGAGAGGGTTGGTTGGGTGTGCTGCTCTTAGGATTTCATGATTTCAGGGTGTCTTCCAAGTGAAACCTCAATGCTCACAGTATAAAAAAAACCTGAGATCAGATTCCTAGGAATGTGCTATTTACCCAGAAACCCCAAAAAGCAAATGGATGCAGGCCATATTTCGCTTTTCTGACATTTCCTTGGGAATCTACAAGGACCTCCCTTTTCCCCTCCCTTAGTAAGACCATTTAAGTGTGTGTTAAACAACTACAGAATACTAAATAAAAAGTTTGGCCAAAACCAACCATGAAGCTGCAAAACGATGCTTGCTCTTACTGTTTCAAATTTTTGCAACTCTGTAGTGTCTCACTTTTAAAGGAACAGCTTGATTGCAAAGGAGAAAATAGATAAGCAATGAAGTTATCTCCAACTTCCTAAAGGCTTATGACTTCTAAAAAGTGAATCTATCAGCATTCCACATCAGATTTAAAGCACCAAATGCCTGTGAAACAGCAAAGATGGTAAGCAAAGCAAACTAGTTTTTCCGTCTAAGTCGAAATTGAGCACTTACCTTCCTCATAGTACAGTGAACCATACTGTACTTCATGGCAATGGAAATGCCTTCTAGATTAAAAAAAAAAAAACCTTTTGAAAAAAACCACAAATGTTCAATAGCATATTAGAAGTCCTCCAAATTCAACACTTGGATTTTTTTAAAGCATGTATGGCACTTAAAGGCACTAATGCAGCTGTTGTTTATCAATAGCAATCTGGAAATTGGGAGGGGGTGATTTTTTTTTTAAATTTTTGATGAAGACCTTTAAACATGCTTCATGTTTTGACTTTTTTTTTTCAAATTAGTCTTTTAGTCAATATAAAAAATGGCTTAGGATTGGGGTCTCCCATCTGGCCCCTATAAGCCATTGCAAATTTGACATTTAGTTGGATGCCTGACTTGTTTTAGTTCTATGAAACTACACTGTATGGAGAAAAAAAATCTATTGCAAGTGGTCTTTAAAAAAGCAAAAACCTGAGGCAGCATGACCCAGGTCCAGCCATGAAGTTGAAAAAGATGCTCTTGAATATAGTAAACTTGAAGACCTCCAACTAAAAATCCTTAGACTGCACTTATTCCTTCAAATGTTTTGTCAGTTCAACTTATGGATTTAACGTGGCAGTGCACCATTGGAAAAGAATGAGAATCCATAAGCCATGCGACTTAACCATTTAAGCCATTCCAGTCCATCCCAAGCCAGTGAACCTTCCACCAATTAAGAGAAGTAGTAGAACATGAAATAATGTATTAAGCTACAAGTCTGAACTTGCCTGTTCTCTCTGGAAAAAAAAGGACAGTTATAGGCAAGTATTAAAGAACTTCCTTTAGAGAAATAACTAGTTTTCATTTATGTAATTTTTGCAGGTTGAACCTAACAGTCATCCTATCATGGAGTGCTGATTGATTCACAGTAGAGAAACCTGGCAGTATGAAAAAATCAAATGCTCAGGTAAGAGTTGAAAGTAGTGTCCCTCAAAGGTTTAAACACTGTAGCTTTGTCATTGTGTGGCTATGGTATTGGCAAGTATTTTCTGACCCTTAATTTGTCTATAACATGGGATAATGCTCAACTCTGGACATAAGAATGAATTTGTTTTGTCATAAAAAAAACCTAGCACATCCATTTTAAGTGAAGGTATATAGATATATTTTGATTAAATAGAGTACCAGTAAGATGCTACTACTAGCTGTTTCTGAAATAGTTACTAACAGCTCTTTGCCTGCAAGAGTTCTTGTGCAAAGAGCGATCTAGTTAATGGTTTGCTATGTGAGCAACGTTGTATGAATTGCATGCATGCTGTCAGTGCTTGCTTATTTTCAATTGACTAGTTGGTGATACAGCTGCCACTGCAACTTCCGAATTTCATGAGCACAATATGGCAGGGTATCTGATTTCACTGTTACAAAGCTGATGCTTATAGTAATTGTAATGAATATGGCCGCAGTTTGAAGCTGGCACTTTATCGCTAATACTTAAACTGAAAACCCAAGTTGTGTGCACTTAAGAGAGAGGATTGAAGTGCTTTGCAGTATAAAATTCTCTGTAACTTGATCACATGCTTTTTTTACAGAGTTGTTGAAGCAGAGGAATGCTGACACTAAGCTGCAGCAGTTACATACCCAGTGCTCATCAGAATTGGTTTGGTACAGGCAATAGAGGGTTTTTTTTTCTTCAAGGGAGGGAGGCATCAGTGTTGGTTAAACATTAATTAGGGAGTGGTGATTCCTTAAAATTGACCAAATGAGGAGAGGGAGACAAAGAAATTGGTAAGTCGAGGTACCTACCCAAGAAGTTCTCGTGGCTCTTTGTACAGATTCAGTAGTTTGGGTGAAATAATGGGGCAACTCTGCAATTTAGAGCTGATGATCACTTACTATAAGAAAATTGAATTAGCTGGGACTGTAACTCCATGGTGGAGTGCTGGCCTAAATACGAGCGAAGCCTAGAGTTCAATCCCTGGCACCACACACAGAAAAGAACACTCAATCAGAAAACTGATGCTTCCGTGATAACTTTATCCACTGATGTCTCTGATTTTCACCAAGTAAACCATTTAGGGAATTACCTTATCAGGAAAAAACATTTACTTGTCCTATAAAACTTAGAAGAGGGGAGCAATGCTACAAAATGCAAGTAAAAACTGAAACACTGTTAAGATAGTGGAAAGATGCTGGAAACAAATACAGGTCACCAGGTCACTGTAGTTTTAGAGAGGTACTTTACCCTCAGGTCTCAATCTTGGAAATAAATCACGATACAACTCTAGTTTATTGCTTTGGAAACTAAGAGCCAGTAATGTAAGTGTTGATGTTCTCAAAGAGCCAGTAATGTGTTGACGTTCTCAAAGGAAACAGGTTGAGTTGCAGGGCTAAAGGATTTAACTCAACTTCTGAGATTCTTCTTACAAAGCCATTTAGTACTATTACATTTACTGTTTATGATTAGGGGAAATGATCCAAAACTTTTAAACCCCATTGGTCACATTTCTCATCAGCTGACAAGGGTCCTGACCAAATGTCAGCAGTTGTACTTGAATAGCTATCTTAACTGAAGCCTTCTATGTTCTAATAACTCCTTGAGTAGGTGCTTTTGTCAAGACCTTTTGACTCTCAGGCATTTATTTAGATTTCTTAAAGACAGTTTAGCATAGGGAATACTAGGGTAAAAATAAATGCTAAATTCAAAGTAAGGAGCAGGTAAAAAATTGCCAAGAAAACTTTTTGACAAATAGTAAAGTTTACAGAACCAACAGGCCTAAAATACACAATTAGAAAAAAATTGCCCTAGATCCTTCTGGGTATATACTGGTTGTAAACGAATTTGAATAATACAGGAAGTGGGGTTTATTTTGGTAGTTGGATGTAGAGTTTAGGTATTGTGGATCACTTTTTGGAATGTTTTGTGTGGAAACCCAATAAAACTTGAACATGTATCTTTGTGGTGTTGGGTTCTTTTTTTTTTTTTTTTTAACCCTTTTGAAAGTAGAAATTAATTTTAGGCTTTCCAGTGGTTTTTTTCTTTTTCTTTCTTAACTCTCTCCCTCAAACTTTCAGTTCTAGGGCACTGCTGATACTTAATATAAGGGGCCATGCAGAGTCCCTGAGGTGGTCTGACCAGTGTCTATTGTGATGAGTTGTTAACCTTAGATGAGCATGGTCATTCAGATGATTTTGTTTAATCCTTAACCTAAAAATGAAATGAGAGAGAGCTATCACACTTAAGTAAGGCTCATTTACCAAGAATTTTCCCTGTTGCTTCTACCTGGATTTCCTGCATATCTTGGATCGATAGGGGCAAGGATGGGGATGGGTCAGTAAGAAATTGTTTATGGTAGTGAGTTTCAGTACTTTTGGACCAGAGTCCTTCAGTGATGTTAATAAAACAACCCACAATGCTATGCTTCTGTGGGGAAGGTTTCTAGTTTCTTAACTTCCTGTGAAGTATACATTTAAGGGTGGCAGAATGCTGACTTCACCAAACGTAATTGGCAGACTATGGGGACCGGAGCTCCATCCCCAGAAACCAAGTAAAAAAGCCCTGAATGGAGGTCCATTTGTAATTCCAGTGCTCAGGAGCTGGAAAGATCCCTGGGGCTTGCTGGCCAGCCAATCTAGTCTGTTCTGTGGGCCTCCATCCTGTGGTTTTAGGTTTTATGTTAGGGGGATAATACTTTCTGAATCAATTTTTGTAGCGTGAGACTGGAAATTTAAATTTATTTTTTTAAATATAGATAACCATTTGTTCCAGTGTCTTGCTGAAAAAGACTACCCTCTTACTTTTTTACATTTTCTTCTAAGTTCTTTTCCTACTGTTTAAATTTGTACCTGCATATAGTGCCCATAGAGGCCATAGGCATCAGACCCCCTGAACTGGAGTTAAATCCAAACTCAGGTCCTCTGCAAGAGTAGAACAAGCTCTTAACCATTGAGCCACCCCTCCAGCCCCTTCTCTGCTCTCCTGAAATGAGTGGGTTTTGTGTTTGTGTTTGTTAGACTATGGCATTTTGGCTAGGTGTGTTGGCACAAGTCTTTAATCCCAGAACTCTGGAGTCAGAGGCAGGGAGATCTGAGTTCAAGGCCAGCCAGGGCTCAACAGTAAAATTCTTGTCTCAAAGAAAGGAAAACTGAGTAGGGGTTAACATGTATGCTCTGAAGGCTTTTTGACATTGAGAATTTGTTGGAGAACTCCTGATACCCGTTTCTTAGAATTCGTTGTAATTGTCATAGGAAGTAATGGGGTTCATTGTGGAATCTTTATATACACTTTGTTTTTGTTGGTTCTCTCTTCTATCCCTGCTGCTGCCCTCTTGTTACTCCCCTTCTATGAACCCCCACTTAAGATCTGTTTCCCTCATAGCTCCCTTTCTAGTTCTTAGACCACATCCTCCTTTCCCACTCATGTGTATATACATCTATATTAAAAAATCTATACTCAGCATGCCTAACATGGACAAAGTCCTGGGTTTAGTCCCTAGCACCGTATAAACTAGGCATAGTGATGTATGCAGGAAGTTTAAGGCCAACCTGGACTACATGAGACTTGATTTCAAAAAAAAAAAACCTGTAGAGATGGCTTAGCAGGTAAAGAAGCCTTTGCCACCAAGCCTGACACCCTGAGTTTGGTCCTCAGGATCCTCATGGTAAGAGAGCATGGACTCCTGTAAGTTCTCTGACTAGCACATGTGCATTGTGGGACTTGCATACCCCAGGCTTCAAATAAAAAGAATACATTTTAATGAACCATAGAAATTATTTCTGAAAGTATGTCTTAATATGTTTTACAAATCTGGGGTTTGTGCCTGAGAGAATTTTTTTCTCTCTTGAGTTTGTCAGATTCCCTAAGAAAGGCTCCAGCAGATCCTTGCCTTGAAGGATACACCCAATGCCTGAGGGTCTAAGATTGGGCTCTTCAGTGTGACCCATATAACATGCTCCATGATTCGGTACTGCTGTGACTTGACAGCTGTTTGCTGGCTTACGGTGGTGATGGAGTAGGGAATGGTCTTCCCAACACTAAGTTGGGGACAGGACACGTATGTATAATGTCTTCCCTAGCCTCCTGTATCCATGGTGGCATTCATAGTAGGGTACCCCTCTCCGTCCTGGAGTCTCTGTTGCCTATCTCTAGGCATTTCTTAGTGATTTTAAATTCCAGTTTCAGCATTACCACTTGTGGAACATGGGGGAAATTAACCTCTGTAGTTGATTTCTCACCTGTGAAGAGGGTTGGCAATATGTATCCCAGAGGTGGAAATGATTGAGTTCCTGTGCTTGGCTCATAGTAAATGCTACATATTTTTTGTTTTGCTTTGCTTTTTGTTTTTTGGAGACAGTTTCCCTGTGTATCCCTGGCTGTCCTGGAACATGCTCTGTAGTCCAGACTGTTCTCGAACTTGCAGATCTGCCTGCCTCTGCCTTCTCAGTGCTGAGATTAAAGGCATGTGCCACCACCACCCGGGATAATTATTAAATATTATTTTCCATCAATTTCCCTCTTGTATTATCTTCAGGACTGGGCTTTGGGGGAGGGATCCAGTACCTTATGTTAGATTTCCTTTTTGTCAGGGACTGAAAGTTCTTACAAGCTGAGTGTTTTTCTTCTGGGTTAGTCATCCTCCCATTTTTTTCTTTTTACTGTGTTACAATTAGTTCACATAGCGTTCTCATTCTGGTTTTGCTTTCCTCCCTTCACAAGCCCCCATTAGGAACTGTTTTAATACAATGTATGTCCTTTTGTATAAGATCTTATTAAATGTTTATTGTTTTTTTTTTTTTGAGACAGGTTATGTAGACCAAAGTCACAGAGATCCACCTCTGCCTGCTGGGATTAAAGGTGTGTGCCACCATGCCTGGCCCAGCTCTCATATTGATATTTTTGAGACAAGGTCTCACATAACACAGGCTGACCTTGAACTGGTGATCCCCCCATTCTTTCCCCCCTAATGTGCTAGGATTATACTACCACACCCAGTTTATAAAGTGAATAGAACTCAGGGCTTTGTTCATGCTAGGTAAGCACTCTACCAAGTTACATCCCTAGTCCTATATTGATGTTTTGCATGCATGTTTTAAATTACTTCAGTTTATAGTATTGTGTGTATCTCTTGTTCCTTATGCACCATTTGTCAGCAATGCTTGAAAGATTTACCCAGAGGGCAAATATGAATCTAGTCTATTACTTCTGGTTATAGCATAGCGTTTATTCCACATTGACACTCCACCATATTTTGCCTACACATTCTTCCCAGCTTGATTCATAAGCCCTTAGGTTGTGTGTCTGTGCCTGCTCAGATCATGCTGACACTTGACCCTGGCTGTGAGCCTAGTGCTAGTTGAATATGGCTGTGGTGAATGTAGAGGAAGATAGTATATTTCAAAGAATCATCCCAGACAAGTTGTGATTTTTAAGCAGAGGGAAGCTTATTTCTACAGACTGTAGGGCAAGCTGCTTCTGCTTCAGCTGGGAGGGGTCCAAGTAGCCCATGAGAGACATGATAAGATTCAGTTGTCATAGTCAGAATTCTTCACAGCTGATATTCACCAGTGTCTGTCATAAGATTATAAGAAATCAACTTTTGTAGAGCTATTGGGAAGCCCTCTGATTCTCAGAGCACCTTGTGCTGAAACTTAATGCACCTGAGTTTGCAGTTTTCTTTGTAGGCACAAGTAAAAAGGCAAGAATTCACCCAGTCCTGTTTTGCAGGTCATCTCTACTGCTACCACAGTGCAGCAGTCACTTGAGACTTCAAACATTTGTGTCAGTTGGTACTTTATGAATCACAGAACGTAGCTTGATTGTGATGTTCCTGCCTGCCAAACATTGCTAGCAGCTCATTTCCCATTTGCAAAGAGCACTGTGCTCAGTCTGAAGGCATTTAGTTAACAGTTCCCATATGCTATTGTGGGTTTCTCTTGAGTTATCTCTCTAGGATCTTTTTGATACCAATTCATTATCAGGCTAGGCTTGAGGAGCAAGAACACAGATATTTTGTACAAGGAAAATTTAGTATGAAGAATTCCTTAATGGGTAGGAGTAATGGAAATAAAGGAAACTAAGGAATATATATATATAGGAGGACTAGATAGAATAACAAGCATAACATTACTATAATTACTAATACTAGGCTTGAGATTAGAGTATCCTTGGGAGACCTCCTACCTTTGTAGTCCTCCAAAACTGCTGCAGGACTATTCTAGAAGATCAAGGAAGAGTCTCCCCACCTACTTCTGAGAAATCAAAACTTGGAGAGGCGTAGCTGGGACTTGTTAAGTGTTTAAGGGGGCACTGGTACCACACTAGCAGAACTTACAAGAAGTCTGCCCTCTAGCTGTTGGAGAAATTATAGAGGGAAGTGTCTTGCCAGATGTAGGTAACTGTAAAAACTGCCTAAGGTGTTTCTGGGGAAGCTGTTACAGAGTCCAGACCACATGTGCCCTGTAGGAGCACAGTCCAGACAGGCTTCTCAAGCTAGAGACATGCATGCTGTGGAACCAGGAAGCAAACCCAAGTCCTGTGGTGCCTTACTAATACTTCACCGACAAGAACTGCAAGTGTGCCAGCTGGCGAAGGGCCAGGATTCATTTTCATGGAACTAGAATAAAGTGAATTTGGAGTCAGGCAGTTAGGGGAAAAAAAGAAAAAAAGAAATGAGTGTAAAGCCTAAACTGAATTAGGAAATGTTTCCTCCTATGTAACTATTTTTCCTGAAGATGCCACAGCCAGGCATCTTTAAATCCCAACACTTAATCCCATATAGATTTCTGTAAGTTTGAGGCCAGTCTGGTCTACATAGTGTGTTCCAGGTTAGCCAGGGCTACATAAGTGAGACCATGTTTTAAAGATAGCACACAGCCTAGGCTGACCTTAAACTCCTGCTCATACTTCCCAAGTGCTGGTATTGCAAGCAAGCATGTATCACCACTATGACTAGTT